GAAAAGAAATAAATAAATTGTAATATTATTTATTTTGTTATAAAATTACAATTAGTATACATGCTAGGTGTGTGAATGTAATTATAGTAATAAAAAATCAAATGTCAACTGCCCTTGAAATTTCAACTACCATTGAAAATACCCATGCTTTGAAAGAGAATAATTCATGTCTGTATACACAATTATAAATGTTGCTGGATGTGCTGTTAACTAAAAAAAAAAAAAATACCATGTTTATTCTTATTCTGTGAGTTATTTATGTCCTTTACATCTTTTTACCTTTAAAAAGAGGCACTCCGGGATTTTGTGGAGTGCCTAGCCAAATTACAGAGCACTGTACTTCATCTCATACCAATCTCCTACCTTGTTTGTTAAACAGGGAACAGGTATGTGTGGCCTGAAATGGCACCCAGGTAATAATACTGACTGAACATATAACTGCTTTATAATCTAACCTCCTCCTAGCCCAGGGGCAAGGCAATCCTGAGTCAGAAGTGCTGAGAAAGCCCAAGAATGAGGTACAGGTTGGAGGAGTTAGAGAGATAACTTAGTTTGGAGATAAGTGTGGAAATAAAACTCATAAAAAGCTTCAGGAAAATGGTAAAGGACCAGAGGATGGGGTAAAGGAAGAGCTGGGCTAGAGCAGCAACTGGAAAAGAGGTGGAGGCAGAGAGATTAGGGAGGGGTTTATTAGTAATTCTTTACAACAGGAGAGAGGAGAAACTATGTTTACAACGGGAAGGGTGGAGTGTTTTTATAGAGAAGTACTATGCTTTGGGAGGGCAAGTGCCACCAAAAGAAAATACTAAAAGCAGGAAACATGCCTGTATTTTACAGTGCTGGAATGTTGCTTGTGTGTTAAAGAGAAAAGGTTAAGGTGGGGTTTATGGGTGAGAATATTCAGGGGGAAACAATGGCCTTAGAGAGAATGAGCCAGGCTTCCTCTGGCCCCAGAGAAGGAAGAGTCTAATTGCACTGTCTAGCACTTCCAGAACAGTGTCAAAAGATAGTGGTGATAATAAGCGTTGTTCGCTTGTTCTTGGCTTAAACGGGAATGCCAGGTATAGCAAGATACTGACTTTTGGTTTGAGATGGATTTTTTTTCTTTTCTCTTCTTTTCTCTTCTCTTCTCTTCTCTTCTTTTTTCTTTTCCTTTCCTTTCCTTTCCTTTCCTTTCCTTTCCTTTCCTTTCCTTTCCTTTCCTTTCCTTTCCTTTCCTTTCCTTTCTTTTCCTTTCCTTTCCTTTGTTTTTTGAGAGAGAGAGAGCACATGAGCACTGGAGAGAGTGGGGAGGTAAGGGGCAGAGGGGAAAAGAGAATCCTAAGAAGGCTCCACACCCAGTGCAGAGGAGCTTGATCTCAGGACCATGAGATCATGACCTGAGCTGAAAATAAGAGTTGGATGCTTAACCGACTGAACCACCCAGGTGTCCCTGAGACAAATGTGTTTGTTAGGCATCCTACTACTTTATTATGTAGTTATTACTATTAATGTCTTCATTTTCAGGAATGAAGTTGAATTTTCAGCATCAAGATGATGGTTTTTCTCTTTGACCTGTTAAAATGATCATCATTGCATTTCTTGCTTCTTTTTAAAAAAAATTATTTTAACATTTATTCATTTTTGAGAGATGGAGAGAGACAGAGCATGTGTGGGGTAGGGGCAGAGAGAGAGGGAGACACAGAATTTGAAGCAGGCTCCAGGCTCTGAGTTGTTTAGCACAGAGCCCAATGTGGGGCTTAAACCCACAGACTAGGAGATCATGACCTGAGCTGAAGTCAGATGCTTAACCGACTGAGCCACCCATGCGCCCCTGCATTTTCTGCTTCTGCATGTAATTTACATTTCTGAGAAAATCTTTACTTGATCATGTAATATTATTATTGTATTATTTTGCAATATTTGATAATAGTTTAGGATGCTAATAGTTTAGGATGTTTGTACCTATATTAATAAGTGAGACTGGTACAAAATTTTTGTTTTTACTACTATTTTTGTCAGCTTTCTAGTGACTCATGTTTACACTGAATCACTAGAATAAATTGGCAAACTTTCCTTTTTCCTCTCTGTGGAAAATTTTATATAATGTAGACATGACCTGCTCCTCAAAGGCTTGAATGAATAGTCTGTAAAAACATCTAGCACTCTGGGAGTGGGATGAAAGGATAGATCTTTGGCAACTGGTTTTTGATGTAATATATGTACATGATAAAAATTTCAAATTGCCTAAAAAGTCATGTAACAAATAGCCCTCTCTTAAAACAATAAGTAGTCCTCCCACCTCTTATTGCCAGTCCCTCAGTTTTTCTCCCGAGGCAACCACTGTTAACAAGTTCTTATATAGCACTTAGGACACAGTCTGTGAATATTCAAGTATATGAATATACATTCCCTTCACCTTACATTTTTACCCAGACGGTAGCATACCATACAAACTTTTCTCTACCTTGCTTTTTATATATTTGATTTTTTAAAGTTTATTTTATTTATTTTGAGAGAGAGAGCAGACACGAGTGAGTGGGGAAGGGGCAGAAAGAGAGTGGAGAGCATCCCAAGCAGGCTCTGAGCTAACAGCATGGAGCCCAATGCGAGGTTCAATTTTCATGAATCAAGAGTCGAATGCTCAACCAACTAAGCCACCCAGGTGCCCCGATATTTTTTATTTCCAAAATGTTGCCCTAATAAAACTCCTTACTTCCTTTTTGAATTAATTTTTCGGAAACTACCTGTTTCCTCAATATTTTCTAGTTGTTTTCTTAGAGTTGTACATTATATTGTCCTGTAATTTAGAACAACTAAATGAGTTCTCCATATCTATTGGCCTAAATGTTAATCTCACTTCCACCACCACTCACAAATTTTCTAAGCAACTTTGGGCATGTCATGTGAGTCTTGCTGCACTGTAAATGTTTATGGTCTAACCCAGAGTAATGACTCTAAGTATATTAAAGAATACTGAGTTTTGCAGGGCACCTGGGTGGCTCAGTTTGTTAAGCATCCAACTTCAGCTCAGGTCATAATCTCATGGTTCGTGGGTTCAAGCCACGGTGTGGGGCTCTGTACTGACAGCTCAGAGCCTGGATTCTGCTTCAGCGTCTGTGTCTCCCTCTCTCTCTGCTCCACCCCTGATCAGACTGTCTCTATCTTTCAAAAATAAATAAATGTTAAAAAAAAATACTGAGTTTTGCAATTTTGAAAGATACATTTGCAAATAAATACATAAAGTATTTCCTATTTTAGGAGCTTGTCCCTATGCCACCCCTTCCTCTACAACGTTTCCCTGACTTTTGTCTTCATAGCATATTACCTCCTATTCAACCTGTACCCTATTAGTTAAATGAGGAAAACTGACATTTTATTCTGAAATAATGTCTATGTAACCTGAACACTGACTGTCTCAAAATTGTTTAATGGTCTGTCCTCTTCTTAACCCAGTGTCAAGGCTGTCTTGAAACTACTAGCAAAGAGGAAAAGGGATGAGATTAGATGGCAGAAGTTGGAGTGTGGGGTTAGGAAGAGATAACTAATTTTGGAGGTTTTGCAGGAAATGGAAGAGATTATCAATGGCCGCAGGAAAGTGGCTGGAAATATGGACTGGGGTTAAAGTGGGAGGGGTAGAATGAGTGATGAAGTTGGGGCTGGGGAATTGTACATTATATTCTCTTGTAATAAAAAAGTTTCATATCCAGTAGTCTCAATTTTAATATCACTCCCATCAGTACCTGACCAAACACTGAAAATGTGCTTGGTCTGAAGAATTCTGACAATATTTAAACAAAACAAAACCATACAACTAGCACCCTACATACACATCACCACCACCACCACCACTCTTTTGGGAATTTCCCACCACATTCCACATTCTTTCTCCTCAAATTTAAGACTTGATGCCTTTCTGGATTGTTTATCCAAAAATATAAAGCACTTCATTTCACACCCATCTCTACCTAGTTTGTTAGAAAAGGAAACTTGGTATTCACATCTCCCCAAACCACTCAGCATGCATCGACAATGTATTACCTGATCGCATTATAACCTGGGGCTGAGGTAAAGAGGAGTAAGAAACACCGAGAAAGACCCGGAATTGGGGAAAAAGAGGTTGGCACATGCAGGGTTCCATGCAGGGTTCTTTCTTTTCTCTCTCTCTCTCTTTCTTTCTTTCTTTCTTTCTTTCTCTCTTTCTCTTTCTCTCTCTATTTTAGTTATTCTCACAATAATCACCCTTTTTCAGACCTTGAACTTTTTTAGTACTTGCTCCAAATCGCTTAGCAATTTTGGAAGCTGTACTGGGATTAACATTTCGGCCAACGTATATAGAGAAGCTAGCTTCGCCTCTCCTCCAAGGGGGTGAGGGAGAAAAGTTATCTTGTATATAGTTTACAAAAGTTGAGAAACGGTAACTGGCTGGTAGCGGCGGGGGATGGGGGTCGCGCAAGAAATCGTCCAAGCAGGGGCGAGGGCGGAGGGAGCAGTTGGTCACGCAGTTGCTTGATCGCTTTATTCGTGAGCACGGAATCCTGAATTTTTTCTGCGGCCCCGGGGAGGCGCAGGCTTTTTCTGTTAAGTGCTGGCTTGGAGAACCGGCACCGAGAGCAAGAAACGGGTGCGTGGGTGCGGTGGATTAAAAAAAAAAAAAAAAAAACAGAAAACAGAAAACAAAAAAGGGGTCAGCAAGGAAGCGATCTCAGGATCGGTGTTGAGTATTAACGAGGGAGCTTGTCTTACAGGGCCAGTGGCCCCAAAAACCCGAGGCGAGGCAACTCGGATCTCTTCCCCAAAGCCGGAGGACAGGGAGAGCAAAGGACCGGCACCGCCTGCAGTTGCCTGGCGCTTTACGGTGACGCGATAGCTTGCGCTGACGCACTGAAGAGGCGCGGCTTCCACGTCTCAGGTTCCGCAAAGGCCTGTGGGAGCGATCCGGGAGAAGGAGGGCCAAGATGGCGAAAGCGGCAGAGTCTTCGGGAGAGCTGGGGACAGCGTCGCCCAGGCCCATGGTGAGCTTGTGTTCTGCGACGAACGGGACTGAGGGTGTGGCAGAGCGCCCTTAAGGAAGTCGGGTGACAGGCTCCTGGCCTGCGAAGGCCGGAACTCCTTTCTCCCGGTAGGCCTGCCCTGCACCCGATGCCAAAACCAGCCCCAACACTGCACCTGCTTTTTGGGCTCACCACTTTCCCCCTGCTCTCCTCGTTCCTTCAACGCCTTCTTGGGAAACTCCTTTTCACTTTGCTTTCCCATACTCTGAGGCAAAGTCCTCGTCCAGTACATTGTGTTAAATGCCGAGCTTTAGGTGATTTCTTCAGAATTTAGGTGTTCTGTTGTCCTTCATGTTATCAAAATCTGTCATTAGTTCTTGACGGAGTAGCAGCATTCTTGGATTAATGAGATTGCTTCCCATAGGACGTTATAACTTGATTATTGATTTGTTCAGTGACCCCAGTAGTTTTGGTTTCATCCCTGCCCTCCCGGTTGCAGCTCCTTGCAGTCCTCTTCATGATGCTGTCCTGCTCCTGTCATTACAGGCGATACGATTTCTGTTGCAAGTACAAGCCCAAAGCCTGGACAAGTATTTAGGATCAGAGGTGTTGGAGTTAAACGTACCTGGGCTGGAATCACCCACTCACTCTGCCTCTTTTGAGAGTTTGGGCAAATCATTTCATGGAGAGTGTTTTCTTCATCTGTATAATGGTTATAAAAATACATGCCTCAGGGAGCTTTTAGGAAAATGAAATGATATGATTTATGTAAAGTGCAGAACACAATCAGCGTCATGAACTAAGGAGTGTAATTGATTCAGTGTTCTGCTCTAAGATCCCTCTTCTAAACAGTGTTTAGTTCTATAGCAGTTGTTTAATCAATGGTACATCCTTTTCCTCTGTTTTAAATTGGCAACTTAGCAGAGGATTGAACTGGGAGTTCAATCAAGCACAAGAAATTGCTTCTAGTTCAGCTTACTTACTTATTACTTACTATTGCTTACTAGCATTATTTATTCATCTCTTCATTCATTCAACAGATATTTTTTGAGCATCTGTTGTGTTCCAGGCACTCCTTTAGGCACTGAGGATGCAGCAATGAAAGAGAGTGACTAGGTCCAAGTTCTTATGAAACAATTGTGACCTTGAGGAAATACTCTCAACCCCAGTTTCCTCATTTGGAAAATGAGGATAGTAACTCAACACAGAACTAATGAGAGTACCAATGAGGTAATATACACATAGCGCCTGGTGTGAGATAGTTACAGGTGTTTAGCTGTTTTTGGTTGCTGTTACACCTCTCTTTTATGAAGTTTTCCACAATTAAATTTAGTGGTTCTGGTCCTTCGTTGCTCAAAGTCTGATCCACTTCTATTCAGTAATGCTTATTGAACTCCCACAATGTGCAGTGCACTATGCTAACTGCTTTAGGAAATAGAGATGGCCTGCCTTTTTTGGTGCTTACAGTCTAATAAGACAAATGTGCAATGCTAAGATAAGATAGTAAATCAGAGAGAGTTACACGTAAAATATTAACAAGATTTAAAGGAAGATGCTATCATGTCTAGCTGGGGTGACAAAGCGAGCTACATTGTACAAGTTATATTTGAGAGGGCCTCAGTGGATGGGTAGGATTTGAAATTTCAGGTGACCATAAGAGCTGTCAGTGATTGAACACCTGCTATGTGCCAGGATTGTATTAGACATCTTCCACATACTTTCTAAATTTCACACCTAATTTCAGTTAGGTGGTTTTTAAACTGTGTTTTACTTGCAGATGAGAAGATGAGACTCAGAGAAGTTTGATGATTTCCCTAGGGTCTTAGAACCGGTTAGTGTCCAGGCCTGAAAGTTGAAGCTGGGTCTGCTTCTGAAGCCCAGATTATTTCCATTAATACTGCACAACCTCTCATGGGCAAATGTACAGAAGTGGGGAATTGTTAATGTCTTTAAAGGACAACAGATAGATCACTTTGGCTAAAGCACAGAGAAGTATTAGGAAGTAAGCCTTAAAAGTTAAGGCTACTGAGTTAGGAAGGCAGTATGGAACCGTGGTTAGGAATTTGTGTGCTGAGGTCAAATTGCCTAGATTTGATTTTAAGCTCTGTCATTTAACCTCTGTGCCTCAGTTTTCCCATGTAGAATGAAGATGCTCATAGGGGTGTTAGGTGAATTCAATGAGTTAATGTATGTAAGACACTTGGTAGAGTGTCTGGCACATAATAATCATGCAATAAGTGCTATTTCTTCTTATTGACTACTGAGCTTGGAGGTGTAATAGGCAATGAGGAGCCAGTGGAAATTTTTGAGAATGGAAGGACTTAAAATCATGACTTTGACAAAATAATAGAGGAAGGGTTACCATGAAGAATGTCTGGAATCTAGACTAGTGAAACCAGTAGTTCCAGGAACAAGTGATTGCTACCTGGACTATAGCAGTGGTGGGGGTCACGAAGATTTGAGAGAGGCAGGACCTTTGAGGGTTTGTAGTGCTAGGAAGAATGTGTCTTACATCAGTGTTTTTCAAACTTCAATGTGCATAGCAACCATCTGGGGAATCTTGTTAAATTGCAGATTCTGATTTGGTAAGTGTGAGATGAGACCTGACATTCTGTGTTTCTAACATTTTTCCAGGTGGTGGTGGTGGTGGTGGTGGAGGAGGAGGAGGAGGAGGAGGAGATGGTGGAGGTGGTGGTGGTGGTGGTGGAGGAGGAGGAGGAGGTGGTGGAGGTGGTGGAGGTGGTGGTGGTGCGCTGCTGCTGCTGCTGCTGCTGCTGCTGCTGCTGCTATTGCTATTGCTATGAGTCCCAATACCACATTTTGAAAAGCAAGGCTGTAGACAAATGGGGGGATAGTGATGCCCTGAACAGATATATGTAAGACAAGGATGAGGACCCTAAATGTTGATTAAATCACTTTTGGACATGTTTAGTTTGAGATATTGGCAAGCCATCCAATAGATATCCGGCAGGCAGTTTGTCTAAAACCTGGACGTCAGGACTCAGAAGAGGTCAGGATTAGAGGTGTTTATTTAGGAGTCATTTGTATAGAGTTGGAAAGACAGTCTTTGGTAATGCCTATCTATTGCTTGTCTGTTTGGGGAGCAGGAAAAAGAGCTATAATAATGGCTTTAGCCTGAGGTTCTTGGAAGCATGTTGATCCCAGGTAAAGGGGCTGGCTGGAGACCATGCCATTAGCTACCTCCTCCCCACTTCTTGGAGCCAAGCCTCTTGGACTCAGCTGGCTGCTGCTTGATGCTTCTCCACTTGTTGACTCTTTGCTCCAGGGTTTTGATCAATAGTATAACCTAGCTGGTCCCAGCTGCTTTCTTAAGGCTGCAATCCCTGCTTTTACTGTATGTTTTTGGCCCTGCCTCTACCTGATCCCCTCATTGACCCAAGCCAGGCAATGAAGAGTGCATGTGGGTTTCTGTGCACACATGTACATATATGTGCATGAACTCACCTGCACGAGAAGAGACATGGGATCCAAGTCACCTTCCATCCCCACTGAGAGGCTAGTCAGAGAGAAAGGTCCACTAGCTCTGAGGACCTGGAAGTCCTTTCTGTCTTATGTGGGGCTAGAATGCCACAGATCCTAGCTTAGCTTGCTGAACAATGTCTCTCATTCTCCTGAGAAGAGATATTGAGGAAATGTTGGGATAGGGAATAGGGTGGGAATCACATGGCACTTCAGTGACTGTAGTGACTTCCAAAACCACTTATCTGGAGTTAGGCCACAGGTTAAGGATACAGTCTTCTACAAGGCTACCCTTATTTCAGGCACCAGTTACAGGTTTGGATGTTCCTAGGACCACTCTAAATTCTGAACTACTGGCTTCAGAGGGGTTCCTGTGGTCCCCCTCAAACTCCATACTTCACTAGAATGATTCACAGAATTGAGGACATCACTATACTTAAAATTACAGTTTTATTATAGCAAAAGGATGCAATGAAAACCAGCGAAAGGGGGTGATATGTAGGATGAAGTCTGGAAGGGTCCCTAACACAAAGTTTTCTTGTCTTCTCCCTGTGGAATCAGGACCCTATTAACCCCCTGAGATGTCAGTGTGTGACAATATGCAGAATATTGCCAATCAGGGGAGTGCACTCATGTATCCAGAGTTTTTATTGGGGTTTCTTTATGTAGGCATGATTGACTGGATCATTGGCTCCTCCCCTCCCCACCCCAGAGGCCAGGTTTATATCACACACTCAAAGCTTCAACCCTCTAATCTTGTGTTTGGTCTTTCTGGAATGATTAGCCTCCATGCTGAGCCATCTCATTAGCAGAAACTGTTTAGGGAACTATCATGACTTATCTGTTAGCTAAACTGTTATGGCCCACCATGAATAACAAAAATACCACTCTCATTTGGGAAATTTCCAGGGTTTGGAGGAATGGGAGACAAAAGCTAACCAAATTCTTTATTATACAATGGTGACAAAACTACAATTGACTCCCTGGGAATCTTGAAGTAGAGCTAACATTTATCTAGACCCTGCTGTGAGCGTCCTACTTAAAGTGCTGTACATATAGTAGTACATTTCTTCCTCACAACAACCCTGTGATGATACTGTTATCTCAATTTAACAGATGAGGAAACTGAGGCACACAGAGTAAGGAACCTGCTCGGTGTCACATAGGTAGTAAATGATAAAGCTGGTATTTGAACCCAGGCTGTCTGGCTTCAGCAATTCTGCACTCTGCACTCTTAACCAATACTCTCCAAATCTGTATGTTGCGCATTGACCAACTATGTGCTAGGTGTAATGCTGGTGTTACCTAATTCTTAAAGCACTTTGTCTCCAAGTGAGAGCAGAGCTCAACTTGGCTTCAAAGCTCATTCCTTCTGTACTGCCTTGCCTTCCCTAGCCCTTGCAGGCAGTGAGAAAACTTAAAACAGCAGTTCTGGAGCTTGAAATGTCAGTGTCATAGTAGTGAGAGAATACAGCTTCAAAAGGGGTGGTTTACATGGTCAGTGCTGAAGAATATTCTGAGGGTGATAGGATCCTGTACTTCTTGATTATGAGCCATGTCAGTAAAGTTATGGGGAAGCCAGTGCCAAATGACAAAGGATTAAGGGAGTGGGTGAGTGCAGAGCAATTTAATCAGGGAAGAGGAGAGG